ATTTTTATACAGCAAGGGAAACATGTTTTTTTGGAGAATATTTATATTCAATTATTCTTTTATATATATAGACCGATTACATTAAACGAGAACGCGTAATACTTAAAGATGTAATGAGCAGTTTTCGATTTATAAAATGCAACGACAATTCGCGGTGTTAACTTTCATTAATTTTTTCTTAGTTTGTACTGTTCCACCTGTTCGTTACAAACCGGATTTTGGAAGCTGACGAATAATTTAGATATAAGTTATATAATATAAGATTATTTTATCTGTTATATAATAACGATATTTAGTCACAAAAGATTGGCGCAAAAGAAAAAAATTTCATTAATCTTTTTTCGTTTATAACGAATTGGAGGCCAGTACATGTGTTTGTTTTGTATATGTGCGTAAATATTCACAAATTTCTAGTATATGCATAGTCACAGCGCAAAGTATGCATAGTAAAATTATTTTACCACATTTTTTTTCACATGTAACATTTGAACTATACTGCGTGTTGCATATGTGAGTATGTACAACTTTCGCGTTTATACTTATTATTATAGTTATGTAATTTAATACATATATACACACTCAAGAATATGTATATACGCATCTATACATACATTGTGACCGTTTGAGAGACACAAGCATACCATGACGTCCATAACATTCAGTCTTAATTTTTTTAGCATTGTAAGCTCTCGTCCGTATTCGTAGGGCTTTGACACTCATCATGTGGAGGCGGGAAGATCTGATTACCAGAAATCTGTGACACAGTCGGCATTGGTTCCTCTATAACAGACAATCGTTTTTCGCGATCTGTAGATACCGCTGAAGCGTGAAAAAATACATTTCTTAAAGTGGCTACGTTGACGCGTTCCCGCGAAGTATCGTCCACAGGACTTTCAGCATTTAATTCACCATTCGAATTCCTAAACAAATAATATTATCGCAATAATTTCGTTTTTATTCATCATTTAACATTTAGTTGCGCGATTCATACTTAGATGTCTTTTGAATCTCCATTTCTATCTCTGAATCCTTATTTCGCTTCCGACCTCCTGAGCGATTATTTACTACGCAACCTTCCAATTTGCTATCCACTATCCTCTCTTGATCTGCTTCGATTACACTGACATGATCATCAAATCGTACACGTTCCGATCCACCGTCTTCTCCACACATAGTCCAACTACTGGAGTCGCTGCATTGACGGTCAAATGTAAGTTTACGACGAATACGTTTTGCTAAACCAGGTGCCACTTCTTCTAGCGAGCTCAAAGAAGTAGCTTGTCCAGCGGAGTCCATGTGACCACCGTTAGCAGAGTTAGCTGCCTGTTCCCCTTCTGTGCTTCTACCACCACTGAGTGAACTACCATCCATCTATATAAAAAACAATAATAAAGATAATGGGATTTAAAAATTATTTTGATACTTTTTCAATCAGATAATCAAATCAACCGGACATTTTAATATTAAAACAAAAAAATTTCCTATTTAATATTTATCAGGATTAAGTACCTTAAAGTTAAGAACGGAACCTGCCAAAGCTCTCGTGGAAGCCGCGCCATCGTCTAGAGCGATAGAAGCATTTACAGATTTTTCAGACAAACTAGTAGCCGCGGAGGCTGTCTCACTACATAAACTGAAACGTTGAGTAGATGTAACGTCAGCCTGTACTTCTAACCTGCACATGTAATCAAACATATTAGTAAAAACGCATTATTCAATCTAACGAACAAAAAATGAAGTAATACCTTTGACCTCCAGGTAGCACACTGGAGGCTATACTTCCCGCGAGGCTCGTACCAGCGAGAGCCACATTGCTAGCGCTTTCGCGGTCATTTTCCCGGCCTAATTTCTCCAACTGACTTCCACTACCCAATGAAAGAGAGGCTTCCCCTATCGATGGATTACCACCGCGGTGACTTGCGACGTCTATTGATGCTGCATCTGTAACATGACGGTTTTGTAATAGGGGTTTCGATCGCGATAGTCCGACCTCGATAAGGGGGTATGAATAGCCGCAGCACACACGTGGATAAGAATTTAATCGAGTGGAACGTGCGTGGCACAAATGCATCATATTTACCTCCACCATTACGGACACCTAGAGCCCCCATCAGTTCATTCTCGTCATCAAATTCAAATCGCACTCCGGTGCCGCTTGTAGAGACGCCACAACCTCCGCTTCGGCAGAGAGATACTGGAACCACGCCATATACATAGAACAGCAAAATGGGCACACCAATACCCACGGCTAATCCTGCTAACACTGGTGATACTAAGACCTGTAGGAGTCATGACGATAAATTAATAAACGCTTTTGTTAAAAAATTGTTATCCACATTGCTTGCTAGGATAACAAAGTGTGCATGTTATTGGCGTCTTTAGGGCTACTCCTTGCTTTAAATAATGCCACGTCCGACACTTGTTAAGTAATATAAATAGGAACAGTCTTGGTTACATATCGAAGGTCACAATGTAGCTACATAGAGTTATAAAGAACTCCGATAATGAAAGTTTAATGCTCACGTCGCTCAGTAAAGTCAAGTAAATCATGTTTTCAATAAACAGAGATAATCAATTTAAATTAATCATTTCCCTTAATGTAATATCCTGTTTCACTTATATTTCAAGGCGATAGCTGGTTTTTTTTTATCTTATCCAGAACAATATTCGAGCACTTCTCGAGTCTCAAGAGATTTTACATTTTTTATTACACATTTATCAGCATACATTTTCATGCTTGGAACGATTTCGCTTGTTCCGCAATCTTAGAAGGAAATGAAATACGGCATGTCGTACTAGCTCGCACAGCCATCAATGTAGCAAGAGCAATGAATTTAGGAGCTGTCGGAGGTGCATTATCGCGCTCCAATTTTCAGATTTCCTGCTAGACTTCGGGAACGGAGTCGGCATATGGCTGAAGATGGAAAAGGTCTGTTTCTTTACACAGGGCTGACTGAATTAGACCTAGTTAGATCCGATTCACACTTACAAGTTAAGAATTAGAAATCCTCTAAGAGTCTACCTATTAATTGTGTATATCGAAACGAGGTAAAAATTATAAAAATGAACAAAGAATCACAAGAATATTTATAATTTCATTGGTTAACATTTAGAGAATTCAATTTTATTTAGAGAATTCATTTTCATTTAAGACACAACCGATTTCCTAGATACAAATCACATTATGCATGCGTGCGTGCGTGCGTGTGCGCGCGCGCGCGCGCATGTGTGTGTATGTGCGTGTGTGCGTGCGTGCGTGCGTGCGTGCGTGTGTGTGTGTGTGTGTGTGTGTGTGTGTGTGTGTGTGTGTGTGTGTGTGTGTGTGCGCGGTGCGTGCGTGTGTGCGCGCGCGCAGGATCTCTAGTTTCAGCAAAATTATGCGAGAGATAACTATTGTACATTATTTCTCTCTCTCTCTCTCTCTCTCTCTCTCTCTCTCTCTCTCTCTCTCTCTCTCTCTCTCTCT